GTTATTCAAAAAACATCCGAGTGCACTGACTTCTGGCGCCGATAATAGTTAACGTATCTATAATTCTTTTGATAGTTTATTTAAAGAAAATATACAGTAGAACCTCTCCTACATGGGCATCAATGGGACTTGTTCAAATCGCCCACCTTACGGAGGTGCCTATCTTATAGAGTTTACATATATATCGACCACTAGTACGTTATTCACTAGCGAGACCATAAACAATAGGGTGTGGGGTGTGGGTGTGTGGGTGAGTGTGGATATGGGTGTGTGAGTGTGGGTGTGTTTGTGGGGTGTGGGGGTGGATGTATATGGGGGTGGGGTGGGGGTGGGTGTGAGTGTGGGTGGCTGTGGCTGTGGGTGAGTGTGGATATGGGTGTGGTTTATTCTGATATCCATACTCATACCGACACCGACATCCACATTCACACCCACCCACACCCACACGTACCCACACGCCACACCCACCCACATCGGCCGTTCCATAGTCAACGACCCGTGTGCACATTGAGTGTCAATATCGTCGTAGAATCAGTGAAGATTCTGTATTTATTAACCCTTCGGTAAAACTTGTATTAGATGCACCACTAGTTTTAAGAAGAATAGAATTAAAGAAAAGATCACCAATCAGTCTATACCTTTTAGGCTATGCGCAAATTCCATCAAAGATTAGCAAGCATCTGTTCCACTTCACGTTTCGCATTATCATTCGTCTCGTATTCGAGTTGCTTCTGAAAATGAATCTTCGCTTCAGACAGATTATCGATGGTCAAATATGCATAGGCAATATTACTGTATACTGCTGCTAGTTCTTCGTTCCTATTGGGGCATTCGATCGTTTGTAAAACATGTATTACTTGTTGATAATTGTTCAGAGCACGAGGAATATCTCCTAACAATTGATGAATCATTCCAATGCTGTTATATGTAGCAGCTCGAGCACTGTCATTTATGGGATAATGATTAAGTGCCAGTTCATAATTTTGTAAAGCTTCACTATAATCCTGCTTATGAAAAAGAGCATTTCCTATGTTTGAAAAATTTTTAGCAAGAATAGATGATTCATCAGTAAGACTGAACACACGAGCAAAATATTCCAATGCCAAATCGTATTGTTCAATAGCTACATAGCTCAAACCAATATTCTGATACAGAAGAAGTAAATTTATATTCGATGGCGGACTATTCATAGTATTCAAACAATCCATAGACTGATGATAATATTTTAGAGCCATCGTATAGTTACCTATATTATAATACACAATAGCAATATTGTTGTACGTTGCGAAACGTAGAAGACCATACGTTGCCGCAGGAATCGAATCAAGTGCTTCCATAAATGCTTTCAACACCAATTGATAATCACCATTTTTTATGTGAATGTCACCTATTCGATTCAGTAAATGACAAATTCTTTCCCATGATATATGACAATCTTGTTCGAATTGTAAAGCTTTTTCTAAAGAATGTAATGCTTGCAGACGATTACCTGTTTGAATATCTATAGTTGCTAATAGACTATACGTATTTGCCAAGTAGTTACTATTCAAGGGAACAGTTATCAATTGAATATCAAGTGCCTGTTTACAAAGTTGTCTTGCAACATCGAAGTTTTGTTGTTCAATGAAAATACGAGCTTTATTCACATATGTTACGCTTAGATCGAGATGTGTAGTTGGTAAAATTTTCTGTTGAATCGCTAAAGCTTTATCGTAAAAATTCATAGCTAGTGTCCAATTTTTTTGTTCAGCATACAACAAACCCATATTGACATATGTACGAGCAACACTATGATGATCTTTCGGTAAAATAGATAGTTTGATCTTTAGAGCTTGCTCAAATCTTTTTGATGCTTGATCAAAACGATGTGCTGTTGAATCAACAGAAGCCATATTACTGAGATCCGAGGCAATCAATAGATCGTTCAGTGGCAATGACTGTTCGTGTATGTGTAATGCATGCTCATAACAATGCATTGCATCATCCAACTGATTCATACCATCATGAATCATTCCTCTTAGATTATATGCCGTAGCAAGATCAGGGTGAGTTTCTGGTAAATTGATCATTCGTTTCAATCCATCGTCACAGTAGGAAATAGCAGTGGAGTAATCACATCTCCGATAGTGTACTCCTGCAATGGCTGTTAAAACAGCACCCATATCATTCTCATGTTCAAGTTCATTGATCAACAATTGGTAATATTGTTCGGCTTTTTCAAGATCTCCCATTTCTGATAAAAAGTTGCCCATTGTAAATAGCGTCGGTCGCTCAAGCATTTCTGTACGCATATAACGCATGAATTCATCCCAATCTTCTTGCATATCATTGCTAAGTTCAAGTTCAACTGACCAAATTCCATCGGTTGGTTCGTGAATAGCAATTATACGAAAAACAGTACCTGCACTAAAAAGTACCTCATTCTCGTCTTGCATATAGCTGAATTCTTGAATACTAGCAAATGGTTTCATTGTCATATTCGGTTTGATATGGATGGTAAAAATAATTGATTCATAGTTGGGTCGTGCCAATCCTCCACCACAAAATTCATTAGCCACATCTTTATTAGTTGATGTGGAAAAATAAGTATTCAATGAAATAAGACCATGAATATTTGATCTCATTTGTTCTAATTCTTCAAAACTAATCAATTGACCTCGATAAACTTTTGAAAATGTCAATATAGCTGATTGAGTCGAGTGTAATTGAGATAGTTGTTCGTGTAAATCACGAAGAAACCAACGATATTTGTAAATTTCTACGACATTCTGTATTCGCATCGATTTATTGAGTGAACGAAATAGAAAACAATCGCGTGTATACCATCGTAGAGCTGTTTTAGGTGAATAATTGAATTGAAATTCAGAAATTTTTTTTAATTCTATCGGATTATTGTGATATGCTTGTTTAAATTCATTCAACATTTCCTTTCGCGCATTAATAGATGGCGCGGATCCTAACACAATTTCAAACAGTAATTGATACCAGATAAATAGAGCACTTTCTTTGCTTAAATTCCTTATTGATGTTTCCCTCTGTATTAATTCATCATGTTTAAAAAGTGTAATCGGAGCTGATAGTGATCTTGAATAAAGTGTCACATCGGCCATTAATTGTTTTAACAAACAATCTCGATCAGTATAGATACCACGAATTTTTTCATTTTTATCAATCCAAGATGCATGTTTTTCATGATTTGCACAGTAGACATAAATTTGACATATCTTTGTATAGACATGTAAATTTGAAATATGATTTTTGCCCAGTTAACCAGAAATAATCAAAAAGATCAAAATATCAGGACATGAGGATTCGATGAAATGAGTAAAATCGAGTACATTATTAAAAGTTTGAAGATTATTTATTATTGAAGTTAGATTTGACGTTCGATCAAAGAAAACATCCGGTTGGAAATTATTTTCATCAATCCAAGCAATAGCGTATTCTTCAGTCAACAAAGTCATGGCTAATAGTCGTGCACGTGCAGACGTACAAAACAGAGCACAGTAAATGTCGTTCTTGATATGAGAGAAAAGTACCTTTTCATTCTTTATTCTTTTTCTTATCAGATATAACAATGAGATGAAGTAGAGAACCAATAAAACAGAATCTATGATGACATCACTACTAAGAGTATGTCGCGCGGATAGAGGGTGGGTGTGGGTGGGCGCTTAGAAAACATTCCTTACCAACATCTAACCCATATCCACACCCACACACCCTATTGCAAGAAATGCTCAAAATTAACGATCAGAGGAATCAATTTATTCCAGACAAGACCGAAAGTACTGTGTTCAACTTTGATGCATACCGAAACAGCATCTAGGGTCGTTCAGAAAAGTTTTCTTTTATTGTTCATAATCTTTCGGAAGTCAAGGTTTCCTCCTATTCTCGATGGGCACTAGTTTTTGTTGATTGGTACAGTACGAAAGTGTGATGACAAATCGAATTTTCAATTCGGTGCACCTACTTAACCATGTAAGGTGTTATAGTTGAAATCAAAATGGGTGTGTGTGTGGGGTGTTAGTGTGAGGTGTAGGTGGGGGTGGGTGTGGAGTGTGGGCGGGTGTGTGGGTGTGGGCTAGTAAAGAGAAGAGTCACACCCATACACACCCCAGACCCACCAACATACCCACACCCTCTCAA